CGAGTCTCCTGCCTCAGCCTCTCAAGTAGCTGGGACCGCAGGCATCTGCCACAACGCCCGGATTTTTTTGGTTGCAGCCATCATTGTTGTTTGGCGGCCCGGGCTGGATTCGAACCCACCACCTTAGGTGTATGTGGCTGGCACCTTAGCCACTTGAACCACAGGCAGTGAGCCTTATAAAAGTCTTTGTAGAGACAGGCTCTTGCTGTGTTACTCAAGTTGGTCTCAAATACCTTGGCTGAAGCAATCCTCCCACCACAGCCTTTAAAAGCACTGGGATTACAGACGTGAGCCATAACACTGACCTGTTTGTTTGACTAGGGTCCTACAGGATATAACCCTTTCCTTTTTACTCTGATATTTGTTTAGAAATTTTGCTTTCATATAATTGAACCAATCTACCTCATATGGTGATCATTGGTTTTATTTTGTTTTTTGGCCGGGGCTGGGTTTGAACCCCCCACCTTTGGCATATGGGACCGGCACCTTACTCCTTTGAGCCACAGGTGCCACCCATGGTGATCATTGTTAACATTTCTTTTATTATTTCACTCAACATCTGGGATGAGATCTATTGTATTAATTCTCTTTTCTGTTTGTGTTTTCTTTCTTTTTACATTTAACTGTTTGATAAGAATTTTGGTGAGAAATCTAAATTAATGAACCCAAAATGTAATGCAAATGAAAAATGGCCACATTATTTATTTATGTGTACACATATATGTGTGTATATTTTTTCTCCAGGTTACTGTAAGAACTATACATTTTACAAGGAAAAAGAAATTGAATCTGGGTTTATGTGTCACTAAATGTAAATGAAAAACCTAAAAGCTGGCTTGGCACCTGTGGCTCAAGCAGCTAAGGTACCAGCCACATACACCTGAGCTGGCGGGTTCCAATCCAGCCTGGGCCCGCCAAACAATGATGGCTGCAACCAAAAAATAGCCAGGTGTTGTGGCAGGCACCTGTGGTCCCAGCTGCTTGGGAGGCAGAGGCAGGAGAATCGCTTGAGCCCAGGAGCTGGAGGTTGCTATGAGCTGTGATGCTACAGCACTCTATCTAGGCCAATAGCTTGAGGCTCTGTCT